CACCACCACAACCACTACAACACCACCACAAACCACTAACAACCCACCGCCAGCAACACCAGGACACCCACCGCAACCACTACAACCACCGCCAACAACAACAAGCAGTATAATACAACAACAACAGCAAAAAAGGTCTCATTTGGCAAAAATATGATATATTACCATCTCGAATTGCCGCGCACACACCTCGCCGAGTTTCTCAAGTGTTCGAGAAGGACAGCTTGGGCCAAAGTTCTGTTCCCTCTCTCTTCCTCCCTCCTTTTATCTCTTCTTTCTTCTTCTCTCTCCTTCTTCTCTTTCCTTCTGCTTTCTGTTCTTCTTCATTTTCTTTTCATTTTTTTCCCTTCTTCTGTCCTTCTTCTTATTTTTTCCTTCTTCTCTCTCCTTCTTTCTCTTCTCTTTCATCTTCTTATCTTTTTTTCCTTCTCACTTCTTCTTTCGAGCTTCCTGCTTTTTCTCTTTCTTTTTTTCTTCCCTCAACCTCTCATTCTTCCTTCTCTTCCTCCTCGTACTCCTCCTCCCCTTTTTCCTATTCCCCCTTTTCGCTCTCTCTTTCCCTCCTCTCCCTCTCTCCCCCTTATTTTTATCTACTCTTCTCTTCTATTTCCTTCTCCCCTTCCTTTGGCTATGTTTCTCCTCTACTCTCTTCTTTCTCCCTCTCCATTCTCCACCTTCTCCCCTCTTCTATATCTTTCTCTCTCCCCTAACCCCCTTCTTCTATGCATTGGTTGCACCTTCCTCCCATCCTCTCCCCTCTGTCACTCCCCATTTCTTAACTCCACCCTCCCCTTAGCCACCTTCTCCCCTTCCCCTCTCTCTCTCCGTCCCTCCCTCTCCCCCTTCTCCCTCTCTCTCCTTTCCCCTCTTCTCCTCTGAATCCTCTGACCCGCTTTTCCATGCACTGGTAACATCCCCCTCTCTCTCTTCCTCTCTGCCTCCTTCTCACTACTTCTCTTCTCCCTCTCTCCTTCCCTCTTCTCCGCCCTCTCCCACTCCCCCATTTCTCCGGCGTCTCCTCCTTCCCCTGTTCCTACTATTACCCCTCTCTTTCCCATTTCCCCTCTTCTCTGTCTCTCTTCCTCCCTCTTCTCTTCCTCCCCCCCCTCTCGCTCTCCCCACGCCACTTCTCCTGGCCTCTCCCCTTCCTCCTCTGCCTTCTTCCTCAAGCTCCCCCGCTCCCTCTCTCCACCTCTCCCCCTCTCTCCTTCTACTCCCCTTCTCCGCCCTCTCTTCCTCTTTCTCCTTACCTCCCCCGCCCCATTTAAGGGCACCCCCTATCGTCTCCTTCTCCCTTTCTGCCCCCCTTTTCCACCGAACTCCTCTCTCTCTCTCCCTCTCTCTCTCCCCCACCCACCCTCCCCTCCTCCCCTCCCTCTCCCAACCCCTCCCTCTCATCTCTCCTTCCCCCCACTTCTTTTCCCCTCTCCCCTATCTCCCTCTCCCTCTCACCCTCCTCACGCCTCCCTCTCCCTCTCCCTCTCCCCCTCACCCCCCTTTCTCCTCATTCTTCCTTTCCCTCCCCCTCTCCCTTTACCCCACTTCTTCCCCCCTCCCTTCCTCACCCTTTCCCCTCCCCTCTCCCTCTCCCTCCCTCTCCCTTCTCCCTCTCTCCCTCCCTCTCCCTCTCCCTCCCTCTCCCTCTCCTCTCACCCCCCTCTCTCTCCCTTTCACCCCTCCCTCCCTCTCCCCCTTCCTCCCTCTCCCTTTCACCACCCCCCTCACTCTCCTTTCCCTCCCCTCTCCTTCGTACCCCACTCCTCCTCCCTCCGTCTCCCTCTCACCCCTCCTCCCCCTCTCCTCTCACCCTCCCCCTCTCACTTTCACCCCCCTCCCTCTCCCCCTCCCTCATCCTCTCCCCTCCCCCTCCTCCCCCCCTCACTTTCACCCCCTCCCTCTCACCCCCCCCTCTCACTTTCACCCCATCCCTCCCTCCCCCCTCCCCCCTCACTTCACGCACTGGTGGCAGCAGAAGAGAACCCGACGGAATATTGATTTAGTTTCCCATAAAGAATTCTTCCGAGGGACATTCCGTCGGGCCATGTGGAGTTTATTACGAACCTCCGAATGCTTTTCTGGTGTCAAAACAAAGGGAAAATATATGTATATATGCGGTGTATTTGATGTGGAGGGAGGGGGGTTAGAGGGGGTGCTTTTCTGGTGTCAAACAAAGGGAAAATATATGTATATATGCGGTGTATTTGATGTGGGAGGGAGGGGTTAAAAGGGTTGAAAGGGGTTGAGGGGGGAGGGGGTTAGAGGAGGTTGCTTTTCTGGGTCAAACAAAGGGAAAATATATGTATATATGCGGTGTATTTGATGTGGGAGGAGGGGGTTAAAGCGGGGTTAGAGGGGGGGGAAAGGGGGTTAAAAGGGGGTGAGGGGGGAGGGGGAGGGGTTAAGGCCAACCTTCGAATGCTTTTTGGTCAAACAGGGAAAATATATGTATATATGCGGTTGTATTTGATGTGGGAGGGAGGGGTTAAAAAGGGGGTTGAAAGGGGTGTTGAGGAGGGAGGGTGTAGAGGGAGGTGCTTTTCTGTGGAAACAAAGGAAATATATGATATATGCGGTGTATTGATGTGGGAGGGAGGGGTTAAAGGGGGGTTAGAGGGGGGGGTAAGGGGGAGGAGGGCGGGGGAGGGAGCGGGTTAAGGTTGGATGGGTTGCGTGTAGGATGTTGTTGTGGAGGGGTGGGGTTGGGTTTATTGATGTGTCGTTGTGTGTGTGTGGGTTGTGTGTTCGAAGGGTGTGTGTGTGTGTTGTGAGTGTGTGTGTGTGTGTGTTTGTTTGTTTGTGTATTCTATGTGTGTGTGATGTGTTTTGTTATGTGTATGCATGAGTGCGTTTGTGTGGGGTGTGTGTGTTTGTGAGGTGTGTGTGTGTGTGTGTGGTGTGTGTGTGTGTGTGTTTGTGTGTGTGTGAGTGTGTGTGGTGTGTCATTTGTTGTTGTGGTGTGTGTGTGTGCATTTGATGCATTGTGTGTGTGTGTGTGTCCATTTGATGTCATTGTGTGTGTGTGTGCGTATGTGTGCGTTATTTGATGCATTATGTGTGGTCAATTGATGCATTGTGTGTGTGTGTGTGTGTGTGTGTGTTTCTTTTGCATATTTGTAGTTTATGTGTACGTTTACTCTAATGCGTTACGTGTGCGTGTGTTTTATGTACGTTTGCCTTAATGTGTAGTGTTTGCGTGTGCCTGCGTGTGGATAGGAGCGAGCGTCAGCATCGCATGTAATTTGGAAAAGAATTTGTTTATTACCCGTTATATTAGTTTCCATTGTTCGCATTAGTGATATGTAGATATTCCTTCCTTATTTGCTCGTATTTGCATATAGACGATCCCAAAGAAGCGTACGTAATTTTTATTCAAATATATCTCGCTTTATGATGTCCATTGCTCGTTTGTTTTCGTGTATTTTACAAAATGTTTTTTTTTCTCTCTCTCTCTTTTCATTTTGTTTTTTATTTTTTATTAATTTTACGTTTTCTTCTTTCTTTCTTTTCTTTTTTTTTCTCCCTCTCTCTCTTTTTTAATTATCTTTACGCTTTTTTCTTTCTTTTTCTTTTTTTTTTCTTGTCTTCTTTTCTTTTTCATTATCCTTTACGTTTTTTTCTTTCCTTCCTTTTCCTTTTATTTCTCTCTCTCTCTCTCTCCTCTCTCTCTCTCTCTCTCTCTCTCCTCTCTCTCTCTCTCTCTCTCTCTCTCTCTCTCTCTCTCTCTCTCCCTCTTTCTCTCTCTCTCTCTCTTCTTTTTCCATCCTCCCTCACTTTTTTTCTTTCTTTCTTTCTCCTTCTTTATACTTCTTTTTTTCTTTTTTTTTCTTTTTTTCCTATCTGGTCCTATGATATTCATATTCATCCGCTGAAAATGTCGAATTCGTGTTTTTGAATTTCCTGGATCCAGTGTTTGATTTTGATATATGTAAAAAGTTTCGACAGCATCATTATGACGAACGTGAAAGAAAAGTATTACATTTTTCTGCGCCGCGTCAGAGAGGGAGAGAGGAAGAGGGAGAGGGAGAGGGGAAGAGGGAGAGGGGGGAGAGGGAAGAGAGAGAGAGAGAGAGGAGGAGAGAAGAGGTAGAGAGAGAAAGGGAGAGAGAGGAGAGAGAGAGAGAGAGGAGAGGAGGAAGAAAGAGAGAGAGGAAGAGAGAGAGAGAGGAGAGAGGAGAGGGGAGAGAGAGAAGAAGGGGGAGGGAGAGGAAGAGAGAGAGGGGAGAGGAAGGAGAGAGAGAGGGGGTAGAAGAAGAGAGAGAGGGGGTGAAAGAGAGAGAGAGAGGGAAGAGGAAGAGAAGAGAGAGAGGGAAGGGAGATGAGAGGAAGGAGATGAGAGAGAGAGGAGAGAGAGAGGAGAGAGAGAGAGAGAGGGGGGGTAAAAGAGAGAGAAGAGGGCTGGAGTAGAAGGGGAGGAAGATGAGAGAGAGAGGGAAGGAGATGAGAGAGGAAGAGAGAGAGAGAGAGAGGGAGAGGAGAGAGAGAGAGAGAGAGGGGGGGGGGTAGGAGAAAGAGAGAGGGAGGGGGGTAGAAGAGACAGAGAGGAAAGGGGAGGGGGGGAGGTGTGAGAGGGAGAGATGGAGGGAAGGAGAGGATGAGGAAGAGACAGAAAGAGAGAGGCGGGGTTTAGGAAAGAAAGAGAGAGGGGGGAGAGGGTGAGAAGGAGAGGGATGCGAGCGGAAGGAGAGGATTGAGGAAGAGAAAGAGAGAGTTGAGAGAGAAATGAGAGGAAGAAAGTTACACACCTTTTCACTCTTCATCACAACGTAACAATAACATGTCATGTACTTTTATTTTCTTCTTGCCTCTTCTTCTTCCTCTTCTCTTCTTCCCATTTTCTTCGTCCATTCTCTCCTTCCCGTTATTCTCATCCATTCTCTTCTTCCACGTTTTCTTCGCCATTCTCTCCTTCCGTTTCTTCGACCATTCTCTTCTTGCCGTTTTCTTCGCCCATTCGCTTTTCCCGTTCTTTCCATTCTCTTCTTCCCGTTTTCTTCGTCCAT